ATGTACTGGAGTGTCCAGTCAGTGTGTCTGTATTAACCCCTCTCTCTCTCAGTGTTGTAGTAGTGTAATGGACCTCTACACCACACTGAAAACCTGCCAATGGTTCTGACCAATCGTGTGGCGGATGTGTTGGGGGGGAGGAGGGGCAACATGTCCGTCGCGCTGGCCGCAGGGAGCGAGGGAGCGGGGCAGGGCGGGGGGGGGACGAGCTGTAGAGTCCCGTTCCGTAGGGACCCCCTTCCCGAGTCGGAGCCAGAAACACAGACCCCGGGACGCATCCCGGTCATCAGCGGCGCGCAGAGGGGCGCGGGGGCGCGGAGGGAAACATGCCGACATCCCCGCGCCCCCCCGCAGCCCCGAGAGCCCCCCCCCTCCCTCCCGATTACTCTCACCCCCGCGGCGGTCCCGCTCCCTGGGGGCCCCGGGGGGCCCCGGGGGGCCCGGGGGGCCCCGCGGGCTACAGGATGGACGGGATGGGGGACCGGCAGCGCCGCAGCGGGGCGGGGGGCTCGTAGGGCTCGTACGGGGGGTTGGTGGCGGGTGAGAGGCGCATCCGGCTCCCGCTCATTCCCGAGATGTTGTTCAGGCTCCGCGATTTCTCGTAGCCGCTGCCGGCTTTTCCCACGGCGGGAGGGGAGGGGCAGGGAGGGGCAGTTACGCACCCAGAGGGGGGTGGGAGGTGTTTCGGGACGGGGGGGGGCAGGGTCCGGAGGGGGAATGGCGTTGGGAGGGTGGAGACCCCGGAGATATCCGATTGGGGACGGGCCCGTGGGGAAGGCAGGGTGGGGAGAACCGGGGTGCGGATCAGTGGATATGGGAGGCGGATCGGGGGTGGTAGTTCAGCGACAGGGGTGAGTCCACAACGTCAATACCAGCGGTAACAAACAGAGAGAGACACGGGACAGACAGACAGACAGAGAGACAGACAGACAGAGAGACAGACAGACAGAACAGGGAGAATGCGAGTTATGACAGGCTCATGGTAGTCGACGACAGAGTTAATGACACCCGACCCCTTCAGGGAGGGTCAGGGGTCTTCAGTTCTGGTCCTGGATTGTTCACGACCCAGTCTTCAGGAGTCCAGATCAACCACGACCTTTAACCCCTGGCTGAAGACACCCAGAGTCCAGGAAGGACTGGGGTCTCAGGGACTGAACTGGGCCAGTTACTGTCCTCAAACTGACCTTTAACCCCTGACTGAACACCCCCAGAGTCCCTGCAGGGACTGGGGTCTCAGGGACCGAACCGGGCCAGTTCCTGTCCTCGTGAGCCCAGAGTCACACTGACCTCTAACCCCTGACTGAACACCCCCAGAGTCCCTGCAGGGACTGGGGTCTCAGGGACCGAACTGGGCCAGTTCCTGTCCTCGTGAGCCCAGAGTCACACTGACCTCTAACCCCTGACTGAACACCCCCAGAGTCCCTGCAGGGACTGGGGTCTCAGGGACCGAACCGGGCCAGTTCCTGTCCTCGTGAGCCCAGAGTCACACTGACCTCTAACCCCTGACTGAAGACACCGAGGGACTGTTCTTCTCCAACGGGTGACGCTCATTAAGAGGTGCAGAACTGGGATCTCTCCAGGACCAGGACCGAAGGCCCCTGCTGTACGTGGGTATCGCATGAGAAACACTTGGCGAGAGATTTTCTTGACACGTCAACAAACAGTCATTAAACCCACAGACAGAGAAAAGCAACGAGGAGCAGAAGCCACTTTGTGTTCCAATTCCAGGCTGACCAGGTGAAACTGTCCTTTGTGCTCTCTCTCTCTCGTGTCTTTTAAAGGGACCGCCCGTATCGTCTCGGCTCGGAACCGCCGATCGCCAGGCGACCCAACGCTGCAGGCATGACCAGGGGTGCTCAGGGGTGTCTAACACTCCCTGGTCTTTCGCAGTTGCCGATCAGCCCCTGTAAATCACTCTCCCTGCACAGGTCCTGCAGCTGTGAACCAATCTGCAGGTCAATCACGTCCAGCAGAGCAGCCAGCAAACTGGGGGCTCCGCAGGAACGGGGAGACGCGGGGCACGGCGGGAGCCGAGTCCGACACCCCTGAAATTTTACCCAGCGTGCGCCCCCAAAGTGGAAACATCTGGGGTCAAAGCTGGCTTCCTGTGAAGGCTACCCTGCCACAGACACCTGTCCCTGCTGCGCGTGTGGGGGTCCGCCGAGCACCAGCAGCAGCCCCCTGCGCCTCTGGTCGGGGTCCCACTCTGAACACCAGGGGGCGCTGGCGCCGCCCCTTGCCTCACAGCCGAGAGCCGGTCGCCCGGCGCTGGTGCCCCGCCCCCTGGTGGCGAGTCCGGGCGTTGCGCTGTCTTTGAGCAGGCTGGGAGATGCCAGCGAGGTGGTACAGTAGATCAGCTCCCACAGGGAGGGGCTGGTGGACTGCTCCGAGCGGGTCTCGCCCAGCGGCCGCGAGAGGATCTCGGGGAACAGAAATGTTTTGTTTTTGTTTTTATAATCCCTGATGGATTCCGCCGGATCAAGAGAACTGTCTCAGGCACCACCAGGGGGGACGACCAGCCAATCAGAAATCAGCGTGAGGCGCCGAAGGGGTGGGCTAGCCAATCACGGGGACAGTCTGCGCGGGCCAATCGGGGAAGCCGCACCCCGATTGGCCCTTAAGTGACAGTCTAGCCAATCAGGAACCAGCATGAGGCACTTAACTAATGGACTGGCCAATCAGGAGTCAAGAGAGCAGTATGCCTCTCCCAGCGCTCGACTGATCAACCGGTCCGAGACTCCGCAGCGTTTCCATCCAGGGACCGGCCGAATTGGGAATGCCCCCCTTTCCCTGGGGGGGGGAAAGACCCCCCCAGGTTCCCTCTGTCACACAGGACACTTTCACAGGGCCAAGTGCCCAACTACCGCGAGCTCCTCCGTTTCGGGCCAGCAATGCCCACACGCGCCGGCCGAGGGGTGTGTGTGTGTGTGGGTGGGGGGTCCTGACGGCGCTCAGTTCCATTTTGACCCACTGGGGGGGCACTGGGTTCCCCCCACAGCCCCCCTCGGGCTGGGCTTGGCACCTCGATACTTTGTGAACCCAGCATTTTCGGTGGCTTGTAGGCTCCCTTCTCCTTTTAAATGCATTTCCCCGAATTTCAGCATGTCGGCCTTGTCTAAATCTGCGATCCCCAAAAGCGGAGAGGAGGAGGAGGAGGAGAGGAGCTGAAGAACTCTCTCGCTCCAGCATGAGGTTTCCTGTCTCTGCCTGTTGCCCCCACAGCCTACAGCTTGTTTCCAGCACCAACCCCAGAGGAAGAGTCTTCTGTCAGAGGAGCACCACTGGAGTCTACTGCAGCCACCTGAAATTACATTCTAGTCAGGTGAACCAGCGTTTCCTCATTCAAACAGTCCAGTCTGGGTCACACTGTAACCCCACAGTCCAGAGATCACTGGTCCAGTCTGGGTCACACTGTAACCCCACAGTCCAGAGATCACTGGTCCAGTCTGGGTCACACTGTAACCCCACAGTCCAGTCTGGGTCACACTGTACCCCCACAGTCCAGTCTGGGTCACACTGTACCCCTACAGTCCAGAGATCGCCGGTCCAGTCTGGGTCACACTGTA